ATGCCGGATTGCTATTGAAGATACTTTCCTTTGTGCATTTTACTATGTTAAATGCTGATTTTTTTTTTATTATTCTTTACAATATCATTGGGCATAGTTTTGAAATACATGAAGTCGCTTGGAAAAAAATCATGATCTTTTTCTGAATGTTTGTAAGGGAGACCAAAACAACAGTTTGGTCTTTAATTTTAATTTAATTTCCCCTATTAATAGAAATGTTTCATAGTAATTGTTGTCTTATGAAATATGAAAATTTCTTCCCTGTTGTAAGCTTCCATGTTAATTATAAGGTCTGTTCTCTCTAATCTTTGTAGGTAACTCTTTGTTCAGGCTTAGCCATTTGATCAGAATGCATTCCAATTGACAGCAGGATCTCCTGAAGGCATCTTTAGTTCTTTTGTTTTATTTAAAAAATTATTTTATATATACATGACAGTAGAGTTTATTTTGACATATTATACACACATACCCATTTATTGATTGAATTATTTATTGATTAGGATCACATTATCTTGATTGTACATATGTGGAGTTTCACTGCAGTGTATTCATATATGAACACAGGAATGTTATGTCTGATTTATTCTATTGTCTTTCCTATTCCTATACCCTCTGCTTCCCTTCATTCCTCTTTATCTAATCCACTGAACTTCTACTCTTCCCCTCCGATCTCCTGGTTGTTCTGTGTAAGCATTCACAAATTAGAGAGAACATCCAATCTTTGATTTTTTGGGGAGTTTGGCTTATTTTGCTTAGCATGATAGTCCGCAGATCCATGCTTTACTGCCAAAAGTCATAAAATAAGTCTTTTTATGGTTGAGTAATATTCCTGTGTTCATATTTTTTTATCCATTCATCTGTTGAATGGCATCTATGTTGGCTCCATAGTTTGGCTATTGTGAATTGAGATGCTGTAAACACTGATGTGGCTGCATCACTGTAGTATGCTGATTTTTATTGAGGAGTAGTATGACCGGGTCAGATGGTGGTTTCATTCCAAGTTTTCTGAGAAATCTCTATACTGCATTCCAGAATGGTTGTACCAATATGCAGACACACCATCAATGTATTAGTGCACGTTTTTCCCCACATCCTTGCCAACATTTATTGTTGCTTATATTCTTGGTGGTTGCCATTTTGACTAGAGTGAAATGAAAATCTCAGTGTAGTTTTAATTTGCATTTATCTAATTGCTAGAGATGTTGAACATTTTTTTGTATTAGTTGACCATTCCTGTTTCTTCTTCTTTGAAGTGTCCATTCAGTCCCTGTGCCCACTTATTGATTGGATTATTTGGTTTTGTGTTAAGTTTGTTGAATTCTTTTTATATTCTGAAGATTAATGCTCTGTCTGAGGTGCAGGTGGCAAAGATTATCTTCCATTCTGTATGTCTCTCCTCACATTCTTGTTTGTCTCCTTTGCTGTGAAGAAAGTTTTCAGTTTGATACCATCCCTTTTATTGATTTTTGATTTTACTCTTTGTGCTTTAGGAGTCTTGTTGACGAATTCAGTTCCTAAGCTGACATGATGGAGAGCTGGGACTACATTTTCTTCCAGTAGGTGCAGGAATATGGTCTAATGCCTAGGTTGTTGATGTACTTTGTGTTGAGTTTTGTGTAGGGTGAGAGATAGGAGTTCAGTTTCATATAGATTTTTAGTTTTCCCAGCATCATTTATTGAGGCTTCCTTTTCTCCAATGTATGTTTATGGCACTTTTATCTAGCATGAGATAAATGTACTTATGTGGGTTTATCCCTGTGTCTTCTGTTCCATTGGTCTTCACGTCTGTTTTTGTGCCATTACTATGCTCACTTTCATACTATAGCTCTGTGATAAAATTTAAGGTCTGGTAATGTGGTGCTCCTGCTTTCCTTTTCTCACCAAGGATTGCTTTGTCTCTTCTAGCCTCTTGTTTTTCAAAATGAATTTCATTACTGCTTTTTCTATTTCTATGAAGAACATCATTGAAATTTTAATAGGAATTGCATTAAATCTGTATAGTGCTTTCGGTAGTATAGCCATTTTGGCAATATTAATTCTGCCTATCAGAGCATGGGAGGTCTTTCCATCTTCTAGGGTCTTCTTCAATTTCTTTCTTTAGTGTTCTGTAGTATTCATTGTAGAAGTTTTTCACGTCTTTTGTTAGATTGATTCCGAAAGTTGTTTTTTTTTTTTTTTTGAGGCTATTGTAAATGAAATAGTCCTCCTACTTTCTCTTTCAGCTGATTCATCATTGGTTTATAGGAATGCAATTGATTTATGGTCTTAATTTCATATCCTGCTATTTTGCTTAAATTGTTTGACTTCTAGAAGTTTACTGGTTGAGTTTTTTGGGTCTTCTAAACATAGAATCATTTAATCAGCAAATAGGGAGTGAGCTCTTCTTTTCTTTATTTGTATCCTTTTAATTTCTTTCTTTTGCCTAACTTCTCTGGCTGGAATTTCAAGACTATGTTGAATAAAAATGCTGAAAGAGGGCATCCTTTCCTAGTTTGAGTTTTTAAAGGGAATGCTTTTAAGTTTTCTCCGTTTAAAAGACAATGGTCTTGGTTTTAACACATGACTTTTACAATGTTGAGGTGTGTTCCTACTATCCCTAGTATTTCTTTTGTTTTGAACATGAATGCATACTATATTTTCTCAAATGCTTTTTCTGCATCTATTGAGATAATCAGGTGATTCTTGTCTTTAACTCGATTGATGTGATGAATTATGTTGAAAGAACCTTGCATCTCTGGATGAACCCCATTTAATTGTGGTACATTATCTTTTTAATATGATTTGTGTGTGATTTGCCAGCATTTTATTAAGAACTTTTGCATTTATGTTCATGGGGGACATTGGTCTAAAGGGTTCTTTCCTTGATGTGTTTTTGTTTGGTTTTGGTATCAGGATTATGCTAGCTTCATAGAAGGAGTTTGGAAGGGTTTTCTCCTTTTCTATTTCATGGAATAGTTTAAAGAGGATTGGGGTTACCTCTTCTTTGAAGGTCTGGTAGAACTCAGCTTGTCTGGGTTTTTCTTTGTGGGTAGGTTTTGATGGTGTCTTCAATGTCATTGGTTGAAATTGATCTGTTTTAAATTTTCTATGTCCACTGATTCAATTTTGGCATAGGTTGGCAGATTGGATTAAAAAACAAGACCTACATCCTCATTGGAATACTATCTGTGGAGAAAAACCCTCTGAACTCTTGTGAGGACTAAAATGGAAGCAGTTTCCTCAAACAACAACTAGAATTAAGAGCAGCAAAGTGATGGGAATCTTCTGGGGAAAAAAAGAAAAACAATATTATTTTGATATTGATTTCCTGTGAATGCCAGATGACAGAAAAATGTTTCCAGAAAATGGGAGAGAGAACAGATGTGATTACAGAGTGCAGTGCATTAGAATCAGAATCTGAGTGAGGAGCGTGGCCTGGGAACCCTGGCTTCTTTTGTGGACCAGTATACTTCAGAATAAAGAACTTGACAAAATTATCATGAGGGTCTCTGAGCAGGAAGTGGTGTTAAGTTTCTGAATCTCATAGTAGAATGGGGGAAGGTATTTCAGAATCATGTATCGCTCATGGTCACTTGTATCCTATCCACTGAAATGTCTGGGCAGTTGTGGGGAGGGTTTTACCCAAAGTTCAGTTACTCTCCTGTTACCTGAAAACATAAGTCCATAGAACTGGGCTCTTAAACTAAGCACAGGAATGGCCTTTAATTTCTCTTGAAGCAGGTCTCTGAATTATTGTGAGAGCAGATTACTAAAGAGATATTTGTATTTCATGGAGTTGAATTAACCAAGAAATGTGAGAAATGCAAGTTCTGGAAAGAATATTATTTTTTAATTCTAACAAAGTTGAGTTTCCTTGAAATATATGGAAATCAAATAAAAGTGAGAGGTTTTCCAGTTCAAGAATATTTATGTGCCAGAGCAGCAAGGGTGTTACTTTTGTCTGTTTCAACACCAAGATAGCTCTTTCATGGACTCTGAATATAGATTATAAAGAAGTACTAGTAAATATTGAATCTTACTTGCCTTCCAAGTCCCTAATGGCTATGAGTTTCTTAGCACAAAATCTATAAAGTATTTGTTTCTTACATGAATACTCTGGATAAATAAAATGAAAATCTCTCAATTGCACAACCTCTTTAGAGACCATAAAGTCCCCTAACCAAGCTACTGGTTTTGATGAAGAGTTCTCATAGGAAAACATAACACTGATTGAACACTAACATGACCTCTGTCATCAATAATAATGCATATAAAGAAGATTTGAGGCCTGTGCTGTATCGAACACAGTTACAGTTGCTGATACTTTCTGAGCTCAGTATGCACCAGATGCTTTCCTGCCTCACCTAAAGTGCAAAGCAGCCTTACGTTTATAACCAGTACTGCGCATATGTCACCTGCTTTGGGAACTTTGAAAACATCATGGAACCCCTATGGGCTCAGTGAAATAAAAAATATATGTCTTTATATGTTTGAGTGGATTTACAAAAAGAGATTTTATTCCTAAAGGCACAATTGAAAAGCTTTTGTTTATCTACCAATACTGTTAACGAGAGCCCCAAATTTGACCATACTTCTTACCAACAAGTGCAGTGAAAAGTATTGATCTTCTTTCTCATTAAATTTTCAAATAAATATAATTAATAATGGATAGATATAGTAGTAAAAAATTAACATTAAACAATTCATAGAATTTCAATTGAAAAAAAATTTTTTCAACTTTTTTATTTGTGCATTATAGTTGCATGTACTGATGGGATTTGTTGTTACATGTTTGTACATGTACTCAATTTAACAACATAATTTAGCCAATATTACTTAATATATTGTTTTTCATCGCTGTGCCAATCATAATATTATTCTTACTCATTGTCCCTTGATACATTTTAGAATATTGTTTGTATATATTTTAAAAAATTTTTTAAAAGGTTTGTTAAATATATTAACACAAGAAGTTGGTCAACAGTCCTTCAAAATGTTTTAATGCTTTGTCATTTTTGTAGGATACAAACTGTGATTGAACTGAACGCTTATTTGAAAGAGCCTCATCATGAACCGTGCTTTTAACAGGAAGAAAGGTAAATATGCACATTTTAAAAAGGACTTAGGAATCAAATCAACATTGCTTTAAAAATAAAGCAGAGATGTTTGGAAATTGGTTTTTCCCATTATGAGACCACATGGCTCAAAAATGAAATTAGATTAGAACAATGTTAATCTGCAAATATTGCTAATTAACCTTCTTTGGTTATCACTCTAATTAAAGAGTGGGGTTAATACACTTAGTTCACAATACATATGTGATAATATGTTCTCTGGAAATTTTATGCTATGTTGTAAAATTGCAAAGAATAAATTAATTTGAAACTCAGTCCTAAGTTCAGTTTATATAGCCATATAATATTAACTTGCCTGGGTTTACATACGGTTGCAAAATATAAATTCATTCCTGAGTATTTATGTATGTGTGTATGTATATGCCCACTTGATGTATTACTGAATTGTATGGGAGGCTTCATGATAGGTCAATTGATAATAATGAGACCAAAATAAGTTTGCTATTAATACTATGGTAGGAATATAAAATAAAGATAAATTCAATGTATCATAATCATCAACAAAGGCATAAATGAAACAACTAACTAGTTACGTGCTATTTTTTTTAACGGGCAAGAAAAATGGAATTTGACAAAATATTTTATGAAATACTTATGTTGGAAAGAAATATTTTATGTTTTTTGTCTAATTCAGTGAAGCTAAAATAATGTGTGCATTTAATTCTGGAAGTTCTCTAGTATAGGGCAGAGGGCTCCCTGGTTTATGATGAATTGGAAACAAATATTTAAACAATGCTAATCAAATTCATAGATGATTGAAAAGAGGAAGAAATTACTGACAAAATAGGATTACAAATATGTGGGGGAAAATGACCAGCTAGGTTATATTCTGCACTATAATTTTAATATTATAAATTGCCAACTAAGGGCTCCCCAAACATAATTATTTATTATTATTCATATATTTTCATTATTTGAAAGATGCACCTTAAGTGCTTATTTAGTGAAGAAAAAAAAAGGCCTAATAATCAACACTGTGATTTTTAAGAGCTAAAGCTTATATTCTAATAGATGGGTAATGAACAGTCCAGAACTAGGGACCAGAGTGTTCTGTTCTATTTCACGCAATCAGGCCTAGTGTGTTTCTCTCCCAAATATTTAAATAGTTAGCTGACACCTTATAATATGCCCAGATGATAAAAGCTGAAATAATATCAGCACTTTTGATATATAATGGGAGCCATAACTGAGGACCCTTGGAGCAGCTGCTTTTCAGTGTTTGAGGGTTGCCGTTTAGCCATGGGACTATTTTAATAAAGGAGAAATAGGTGTGAATTATAAGGTCCTTGATTGTATGTAGGAAAGAGCATTTCAGCAGTGTCCTGTAAAAGTATAATGGATTATTCAAATTACTAAATTTGTGTCACAGAAGTGAGAGCCATTCGAACATTTGGATATGGTACAGAAGATTAATGCATTCAGTGGGAGTTTAGATACTGTGACCTTTCAAACACTTTTCAAGACTGCAAAGCTAGAAATATATTATTTTGCTTATTTTTCTGAGTAAGAGGAAGCAAAATGACATTGTTTGCTGTCTATAGCTTCATGCTGATTTAAAACATATCCCCAAAGTAAAATGATGTCTCTTTTTTGTGTTTCTTTTTATTCTCTTTACTAGTAAGAGTAAAAATAGTTTTATGATATATCATAGTATTTCTAATAAAGTAATAGAAACCTTACATCACAATTCACCACTATAATCACACTACCTTATTTTTGGAAAACATTTTTGACCTTGGAAGACACACACACACACACACACACACACACACACAATTCCCCATCCCATGGCTTTGAAGTTGCAACTGCTTGTTTCTAATTTACTATTTATTTTAAGGAGATACAGAGTGGCTATTCCAGAGGACTGGGTACTGATATAAGTAACCAGTAATTGTTTTTGGTCTCATTTGCACCCAGTGGGGTGCTGCCTTGGGGAAAATTGGAGTGGTTTGTAGAATCCAGAAGCAAAAGCACTGATTTCCTCCTTTGCTTAGTTCTTTTTTGATTTTTATCACCTTTTCTTATTTTACAAGTCTAATGATTAAATATCCTTATTTGGTAATGAATGATCAATATTTTGCTCCAGCTCTAACTTACAATTTGATACCAGAAGTTTTGCTTAAATTTGGCAATTAGTTCTTAGTCCCATTTGTTAAATGAAAAAAATCTTAGAACCTCTGTTCCAGGTTTTAAGTAATAGTACTATTAGCTGAATTTTACTTGGAGGTGGGGAATTTGAATGTTATCACAGAATTCCTATATCCTGAAAGTCTTAGAGAATGTATAATTCAAGTGATATTTCTAATAACTAATAACAATATATACTGTGCAGAGTATTCTAAACAAAGTAAAATGGTCTTCTGTTAGGAAAAGCCTATTTCTTATTTCATAGATACCCAGTTTATTTGGTCATTTCACATAGCCCTACTAAAAGCCTCAGAAACCAAAGAAAGAAAGATTCTCTCTTTAACTTAAACATAGTTGTTTCTTTTTATTAAGTCTCAGAATTATTATTATAGTGTTTATATTGAATTAGCCAGATATTTCACTTTTTTTTTGTTTTTTGCAAATACTATAACAGTATTATAGTCATTCAGAGACTGAAAAGGTTTGAATAGACTGGAATTGCAACATTTTGAGCTATTTAGAAAAGTCCTTTAAAAGTTAGTCTCATATAATCATAGATTAATTTTTAATGATGGTTGTATTTATTTTACAGAGACTTCCTTAGTTAGCAGTCTCTTTGAATTTTGAAAATCTTCTACCTATTCCATCAAAATTAAACCATTTAGCAAAAAAGTATAAAATATAGTATGTGAATAGTGCTATTGAATAATTCAACAAATTACACTTTACTTCTTTAAGTTACCAGTTGATGTACTAATGAGTAAATATAATCCTAATGTCTAAACACATAAAATTAAATATTTAAGAATTAGTTTATTTTTTATGAAAAATGCCATTCAAATGTATTATTTCACCCAACAATATTTAGCTTTAAATTTAACATACTCAAATTAGGCATTTTCATTATGTTAAGCTCTGGTGATTATATATATAAATATATATATACTATATATATTTATATATATAGTATATATATAATATTTATATATTATATATATAAATTATAAGATAATTTATATATAATCGTATAATGAAAATTATAAGATATTTATATATATATATATATATATATATATATATATATATATATATAATCACCAGAGCTTAATATATATATTTGAAGTTACTGCATCTTTCATGATGAGCTCCTAATCTAACTGCATTTTAAAAATTTAAGCTTATTGATCCAGTATTCAGTTGTTTGACATTTGTCAAGCATTTAAGAATGTCAATATTTTCTCTCACATGAGTGTTCAATATTGAATTAGCAATTTTAATGTAATTTCAAGGAAGGGCAACACATTCTGGAATGTCTATATTCCCATGTTTATACTAGTTCTCTTTATCTAATTGCTTCTGTGGACACAACTAGTGACCAAAGACCATCATCTGTAATGTCTTCTCAAGGTCCCAAAACATCTATGTGAGTTAATATCAACAGTTTTATTCTTTGATTGTTTTGTTTTTCTTTTAACAAAGTATAAGTTCAGATGACACTAATAACTCATTTTGGAAGTCCTTCAGGTTTCATAAATGCACTACCTATAACAGAAATTGTATAATGAGCAACCACTAAAAAATCCACATTTTATGTTCTGTGAATGCAGATTTTAGTTATTGAAGAAACTGTGTAGCTCATCCACTGGTAATTTCATACTGTGTTTATTTTAGTCTGAAACCAGAAACACCTAGGTATACCTACCCTCTTTCAAGGTCACTGAAATGTGAGACTATAACACAGGCAATATCATCAGTTTTCAAATAATAGTGGCTTTTGAGAGAAAGCAATTATCTCTCTGCCTCAGGATTGGTATGAGACTCATATTAAGACTTTAGTCAGACTTTTTATAACTCCTGGAGAAATGTTGTATATTATGGGAAGGAGGCATGAGAAGAATTGTGCAAAGCCATAAAAAGAAAAATTGGATATCTTTTTAGGCTTCCAAAAGGCAAATGTTTGGTGTTTTTATTGTTTTTGTATACAGAATTGTGATTTACTTCTTCAATGTTCAAGAGTAAGAAAGACTACATGCCAAGTCTAAGTACAAATTATTCTTGAATTAAACATGTCACTGTTCATTAGCAATTTAAAAATTATAAGATAAAATTCATAGCAAAAGTAAAAAAAACCCTAAAATGTTATTGTCAATATTGCATTTTGAAGCTTGAAGAGCATTGCTTTTCAAAATATTTCATTGAAATGCAGTTCTCACTTGTCCACTCCAATAGAGAGAAATAGCCCCAATGCTGTTGATTCTTATGTCTTATCAGGGAAGATCTTGTGAATATTGCTTTATACCCATAAATATGTTTAATAAAAATATGGTCCAATGTCCTTCAAATAACTAACGTGTCATGAATATATATAATTTTTCCTATATTTTCAAATTCCCTCAGTTTGAAAAGCTCTAATTTAATGATATCTAATTAGTTTCTGTAAACACTATTTTAAATGTTCTCAATTGAATGTTGAAAGTACTTGGTTAGTAATCTGATAATCCCTTTCCATGGTAAAATATATCTTTAATTATTTTCTATTTATAATATTGATTTAATTTTTTTAGACTCCCCTGGAGATTAAAATACAAAACTTCACAAATGGAGACAACAAGATGTATTTGAAGATTAAGAAATCTAAGTCCAAAACAAATGCAGTTTCAAAAAACAAGAAGTCAGTTTGCTTTGTGTGAACTTTAATGTTTTCCCTTCTTATACACTTCATAAAATATTTGTGAAACTATATTGAATGTATTAATAATATTCAAAAATTGAATGAAATATATAAATATCAAAAATAAGTAATGTACAATGTAAGTTAGTCTTAAAAATCTATGATTTTGTCCCATTTTCATTTCTAATAATTATTACACTTATCCAAGAAACATTCACTGTAGTTATCATCTAAGATTTTTTATATTTATAATTTCTGATAATCAATATTTCTCTAAATTTAGAATAATATTCTAATATTATATTGATTTCTTAATGAAATTGTAGATTAATTTATTTCAGCTTCATACAAATGCAACTGGTAGCTTAATATAAAAATTTTTCTTTAGAATATTTAAATCTTGATGCTAAAACATAATCACAATGAATAAAGAGAGTTTTTTTTTACTGTCCTGAGAATTAAAACAAAAAACCTGTAGTAAATTAAAGAAAAAATAGCTGTCTTTAATTGAATAATTGATATTATTCATATCTCACTGATGTTATTTCTAAATATTCTTCAAAAATTCAGCATTTTTGTTTAAAAAAATTTAAAGTGGGGGACATTTATACCAGAAAAGAATCCTATAATCATTCTCCAGCTACATTGATGTTATATTTGACTAGTTATTATTTTATAATGGGGAACTCAAAATTAGAAATGCTCAGACTCCCTATAGATGTTAATGCATGACTGACACCATAGGAAGCCATAATTTACTTTAACAATGACTGTATTTTCTTTGTTGCAGACAAAACATGGATGCATACACCTGAAGCATTATCAAAACATTACATTCCCTATAATGCAAAGGTAAAAGTAGTTCATATAATATTATTTAATTTTATTTTGGATAGTATTATTACTATTTATGGTTGATATTAGAAAAATTTTGAGTATGCATTGACATTCCCTGGTAAGTGATTCCTGAAAAAAAGTTACATAAATAAAATAGCTAAGTAATGTATGATATAGGAAGTTATTTTTTTATCCAAATAAATGATTCTTGTTTACAAAGTATGTCATTTTAAATTTCTGTTTGTCATATATTTCATGCATGTGTTTTCTTCTAGTAATTTTGGCTATTGTTAAAATTATTTGCAATATAATTTCCTGTAGGCAAGAAAAGAACAAATAAATTATCTTCCTTTAAAAATATTTTAATGGTGCATTATTGAAACTAAAAATAAAAACTAGCCTGGAAATGAGAAAAATAAACTAAAATTTTAATGAGTGTAAGTACCATCCAAGAATATTAACGAACAAAACTTTAATAATATTTTTTTAAAAAGTTCATTTTGTTACTCTTTTTTTCAGGTTACTACATTTATTTTTTTCTTTTTGGTACTGAGGATTATACTCAGGGGCTTTTTACCACTGAACCACATTCCTAGCCCCTTTTTCCTTTTATTTTGATACAGAGTCTCACTAAGTTGCTTAGGGCCTTGTTGAGTTACTGAGGTTGGCCTTGAACTTGGGATTCTCCTGCCTCAGCCTCATGAGTCTCTGGCATTAAGTGGTATGCCACCATGACCAGCTCAATTTGCTACATTTTTTTTTTGTCACTTACCCCTGAGTATCCCGGGGCTCCCCTTAACGGGCCACCATCTGCCACAGTCCGGCTGCAGCAAAATAACCGGGGGGTGACGAGCAACTTGTGTACATTGATACAGCAGGAGTGGGAGCTGTTTATTGTAGGACAGGAGGGGTATATATACATTCCACACAGCTTATCTTAATTAACATAAACTAGATACAGCAGTCAACCAATAAGGAATCTCCACACTTAATGGCTCGCTGGCATTACTTCAAAAACCACTCCCTCTGCAAAATGCCAGGCGCCATCTTGACTTGTTTACAGACTCTAACATACTCCTTCCTTAAATTGCTTTTAAGTAGAAGGCATGTTGCTTAAACTTTACTGGATGCTGGTTGACACTTCACAGCTTTATAACACATTGCTTATTTTCTTATGGTGTTCATTATCATAAAGAAATACTGTAATATTAACCAACATAAAAGACACATCATGTTCTGTCATTCAAAAGCACAGAAAGATGTAGATATTCAGAGAAGTGTGTTACTCCTATGTTATAAGAGTGGAAACAAGGTAATATTCAGGAGCAAAACAAAGTCAGGGGCCATTTCAAGATGAGAAGTCTTAAAGGTAGGAGACCAGGAGAGTCAGTAAAGTATGAGGCACAAAATATGGCAGGAGCTGGGCGTCAGTATGAAATACTGAAGCTGACCTGGTCAGTCAGGGTCCATCCAAGAAATAGAATAGGTAGGATATCTACATACATACTAAAGATTGGGGGAAGCTGACCAGGCAAGTCTGGAGTATGTGATAGGCCTTTAGGAAGGGCATGCTGGAACCTCTTGCTAGGAACTGACCCTTCTATATTTTTGTCACAAAGACAATACAACATTTCAAGACAAAACAAGACACAAACATACTGTATCAATCTTTTATATTAGTACTTACAATGTAATATTGATATAATATTTTATATATTATTATAATATTCCAGGTTGAAATAATTGCTATAGAGAAAAATAGAGCAAGATAACAGAATATTGGAATCGGAGGAGTAGAAAACAGGCTACTGTTTTACATAAATTGAAAGATCTTAGAGGAGAACAGCGGCCTTATGGGAAAATGAGGAAGTGAGATGTTCCTGTGAAGGAGAAGAGTGTTCCAGACATGCAGGACAAGGACAAGGAGGATGATGTTCCTCAAGGACTAGCTGGGGAGGCGACCCTGTGGGAAATTCGGTGACTGCCATCAAAAGGCACAGTGAAGCAGAGCTAGGGGACAAGGGTGTCTTTAAGCTCTTATAGTATTTTTAGACCTCTGAAAACTTTGGGAATTGGTGACTTTGTAGAGGTTTCAAAGAAAGAGTAAAAAAGCTGAGACAAATTATCAACAGAAATTGGCTGTAAGGAATCAAATGTGGAAGCACTGAGTTCTGGCAAGAGATTTCGCTTGGAGCAGGGTAGGAGCTGGAGAAGAAAAGCAGTGACACTTTGGATACAATTTGAAAATAAAGCAGAGGAGATCTGTAGGTGGATTGCTTATTAGTTTCCTACTGCTTTTACAATGAAAAATTAAAACAGAATATTTTTAAAGAAAAGGTCACCCTCAAGGGAGACAATAGTGTTTCCTATTCCCTCTGACTTTCAATGAGAATGCTTAATTGTCCTTTCTACAAAGGAGACACACTGGCAAAATTTATTTTTTATTATTACTCTGTTAGTTTACAATAGTTACTTCTTTGATAAAGAACACTAACAGGCTTCATGTAAAATATTTATTAAATATTTTATTCTAAAATATATAACTGCTCCAAGAAAGTTTGTTCTTCTATGAAAGATCTAGTTTTAGGATATCTAAAAATGGGGCTGTGGATTCAGATAGGTTGTAGAACCTTGCCTAGCATGCTACAGGCCCTGAGTTCAATCCGCAGAACCATACACACACACACACACACACACACACATATGTATACATACATATACATGAATACAATTTTAAAGACATTACCTATTTTGTACCATGCAGCAATAAAATTGTTAGCATTCCCAGATCATCTCTTTTTTATTTGTTCATTCTAATTAGACATGATAGTAGAATGTATTTATACATATTATACAAACATGGAGTATAAATTTCCATTTTTTTATGTTTGCACATGATGGGAAATTATACGGTCATGTATTCCTATATGAACATAGAACAGTTATGCCTGGTCATTCTACTGGCTTTTCCATTTCCATTCCTTGTCCCTTCCCTCCACTCCCCTGCCCAATCCAGAGAACCTCCACTCCCCTACCCCAGCTATTGCAAGTCAGCATCGCATATCAGAGAGAATAGTAGGCTTTTGATTTTTGAGGATTGGCTTATTTCCTTTAGCGTGATAGTCTCCAGATCCATCCATTTACCGACAAATGCCATAATTTCATTTTGTTTTATGGATAAGTACTATTCCATTGTGTTTTATGTACCACATTTTCTTCATCCTGTCATCTGTTGAAGGGCACCTAGGTTGGTTTCATAACTTTGCTATTGTGAATTGAGCTGCTTAAACATTGACGTGGCAGAATCACTGTAGTATGTTGATTTTAATTTCTTTGGGTAGATACCAAAGAATGGGATAACTGAATCAAATCGTGGTTCCATTTCAAGTTTTCTGAGGAATCTCCATACTGCATTCCAGAGTGGTTTCACAAACTTGCAGTCCCACTAGCAACATATCAGTACACCCTTTTCCTCACATCCTCACCAACACTTATTGTTGCATCTATTTTTGATAAATGCTATTTTGACTGGATTGAGATGAAATCTCAGTGTAGTTTTAATTAGCATTTCTCTAATGTCTAGTGATATTGAAATTTTTTTTCACATATTTTTTGACCAATCATATTTCTTTTTCTGTGATGTGTTTGTTCAGTTACTTTACCCATTTATTGTTTGGGCTATTTATTTTATGGAGTTAAATTCTTTGAGTTCTCATATATCCTGGAGATTAGTGGTCTATCTGAGATGCAGGTGACAAAGACTTTCTTCCATTCTGTAGGCTCTCTCTTGAAGCTCTTGATTTTTTCCTTTGCTGTGAAGAAGGTTTTCAGTTTGGTACCATCCCATTTATTGATTCTTGATTTTACTTCTTGTGTCTCAAGAATCTTGTTGAAGAAGTCAGTTCCTCATAATATGAGATTTTATGATAGAGATTTGGGCCTATTTTTTATTCTATAAGACAGGGTCTCTGGTCTAATGCCTAGGTCCTTGATCCACTTTGAGTTTTATGCAAGATGAGAGATAGGGGTCCAGTTTCATTTTCTTACATGTGTATTTCCAGTTTTCCCAGTACTGTTTGTTGAAGAAGCTATTTTTTCTTCAATGTATGTTACAGAGCCTTTCTCTAGTATAAGATAACTGTATTTATGTGGGTTTGTCCCTGTGTCTTCTATTCTTTACCATTGGTCTTCAAGTCTATTTTGGTGCTAATACTGTGTCATTTTTGTGTAGCTCTGTACTATAATTTAAGGTCTGGTATTGTGTTGCCTCATGCTTCAGTTTTCTTGTGATGATTGCTTTAGCTACTTGGGCCACTTATTTTTCAAAATGAATTTCATGACTGCATTCTCTATTTTTGTGAAAAATGTCATCATAACCTTAATAGGAAAGGAATTAAACTTATATAGTGTTTTTTAGTAGTATGGCCATTTGACAATATTAATTCTGCCTATCCAAGAGCATGGGAGATCTTTCCGTCTTCTAAGGTCTTCTTCAATTTCTTCCTTAGTGTTTTATAGTTTTTGTTGTAGAGGTCTTTTGCCTCTTTCGTTAGATTGATTCCCAAGTACTTAACTTTTTTTTTAGGCTATTGTGAGTGTGATAATTTCCTAATCTCTCTTTCAGTTGATTCATTACCAATGTATAGGAATGCAATCGAGTTTGGGGTGTTAATTTTATGTCCTGCTACTTTACTGAATTCATCTATGAGTTCTAGAAGTTTCCTGGATTTTTTTTTTTTTTGGTCATCTAAATATAGAAGTATGTCCTCAGCAAATAGAGATAGTTTGAGTTATTTTCCTATTCATATCCTCTTAATTTCTTCTACTGTCTAACTGCTCTGACTAGAGTTTCCAGGACTATGTTGAATAGAAATAGTGAAAAAAGGCATCCTTGTCTTGTTCCAGTTTTTAAAGGAAATACGTTCAATTTTACTCCATTTAGACTGATGTTGGCCTTTGGTATATCAGCTTTTACAATATTGAAGTATGTTTCTACTATCCCTAGATTTACTTGT